GGGAACGCGGAGGGAGGGGGCCGGGAACAAAGCTTTGTTTACATGGGTTTAAAGGGGCCGTGTGCTCGCGCCGGCGGGCGCTGGAGCTGGAGCTGGCGCTCCCTGAGCGCGGTGAGGACTCCCGGAGAGACCCGGACCTGACCCCGCCCAGAACCCCTCACCTGGCGGACTCCTCGCTTCAGAGCGTCCCCGTCTTATCTTGGCCCTGGACGCCCCTCGTCCCCGCCGCCGGCCGCGGCTGTGACACCCCACCCCCGAGGGGCCTGCAGCTGCGCCCACCGCCCCACTTAGGATGCTGTGTTCTTGACTTTACAAGCCGGCTGCAGAGTTTATGCCTGCGTCTTCCTAGCTCTCTGCTCCAGTCGGAAAGCCATTGCTCTCTGATCCTGGGTTTTACCAGCAACCCATATAGTGATCTTGTTTTCATCTCTGCCCTTTTCTCTTTCATAAACACTCATGGAAATAGCCGCCATAAAGTGGCGATAATACATAAATGCAGCAGGCACAGTTTCAATCTTCCCAAATAGATGGTACTCCTAATCAGTCCTCTAGGCTGCCTCCCGAGAGGGGTCAGATGCTGGGAAGTGGGGTTGGAGGGAGACCAAGAGGTTTTTAGGACCTCTGGGCTCAGTCTGAGTGGGAAAGCCCTCCTTCTGGGTCAAATCAGGTCAGTCCCTGCCTGCTGAGGCCAATTCCAATCTTTCCCCCTAGGAATTATCCGGTTAGATAATGTCAGATAATGCCGGTTCCTGTTTTCCATTGGATTCCTCTCTGGCTTCCAGTCAGGGCCCCCAGATTAGATTTTAGCTGCATTCTGAGAGTATTGGTTGGTTGGAATTTGCCCTGACTGGGGGCTACCACGTGCGAAGGAAACGGTGACGGGAGTGAGTATCGCTTTCTGTTTTGGATGGAGTGGACTGGTGCTAAGCGTGCATTTCAATCTCGGTCGTCCTCCTGGCGGGTCTTCCTGGTTTGCGGAGGTAGGACGCCTGTGAACTACATTACCCAGACTCACTTGCAGCCAGGGCTCTGTATGCAAGATAGGCTCTGCCAATTAGATTCAGTCAGATAAGATTATGCAGGCAGAGCTTTTGTTGCCCCTGAGATGTAGTGGGGTTTTTGTTTGTTTGTTTTCCAACAACTTTACAGTGTTGGAAGCTCCCTGAGTGTAGAGAGCAGGAGTGGTGGGACAGATAGCTTCCTGACCTTGGCATCACAGCTATTCTTGGAGTCACAATTTCAATGGCAGTCTTCCAGTACCTGTCTGTCTGATTGGGTAGAAGTAGCAGCTCCCTGCGGACCAGGCCCAAATCCGTCTCCCACCACACCCTACCTGCACAGTTGTTTCTCCTATCTTTCCCATCTTAGTAAATAGTACAACCATCCACCCCGTTGCTTAAACTAAAAACCGAGGAGTTAGCTTGATTGTTAGTGTCTCAACAGTCCCCACACTTGAAAGTCCTGTTGAATCTTTATCTAGTACATACTCAAATGTGACTACTTCTCTCATCTCCACTGCTAACACCCTGTCTAGGCCACCATCACGTTTCTCCTGGACTCTGGTAATAGATTCCTAACTAGTTTCTGTTTCCTATCTTGCCTCTGGATAATCCGTTTTCCATATAGCTACAGAACATTCTTTTAAAATAATAAATGAGATCATTTACACTCCTGCTTAAGAATCCGTAAGTGGCCTCCCAGTGCATTTAGAATACATTCCACATCTTGCCCAAGATGCCATATGATCGGACCTCATCTCTACTGTGCTACCTCTTGTTCACAGTGCTCTGGTCATTCTGGCCTTCTTAAGGCTCCTCACATACAGGTGTTCCTGCTTCAGTGCCTTTGCACTTGAGGTAACTTCTGCCTGAAGTATTTTTTCCTCAGATCTTTAATGGCTGCTTCCCTCATGCCATTGGCTTTTTTTTTTTTGCAAAAGAAAATAACCAAATTTAATGCATACATATGTATTGGACCTCCACATAGTCAGAGACTCCACATTCAGGAGAATTTCAGAGATAGAAAGGGATTGTGGGGCCCTGGCCAGTGTTGTTAAGTGGTTAGAGCATCGGCCTGTGCTCCGAAGGGTCGCAGGTTCGATTCCCGGTCAAGGGCATGTACATGGGTTGCAGGTTTGGTCCTTTGTCCCTGTCAGGGCGCGTGCAAAAGGCGACCAATCAATGTTTCTCTCTCACATAGATATTTCTCTGTCTCTGTCTCTGTCTCTCTCCCCCCACCCCTTCCACCCTCTCTAAAAATCAATGGAGAAAATACCCTCAGAGAGGCTTGTCTCATCACTCTATTGAAAATTGTCCCCTGACCCCATCACTATCATACTTATAGCATTGATCACTGTGTCCAAAACTATTTACTTACTTATATTTCATTGTCAGGGTCTCCAACTAAAAAGTAACTACAGTAAAAACAAAGATTCTATTTGTCCTGTTTATGCTGTATCCTCAGTACATCGGTACAGAGTTGATGCTTAATAAATAGATTTTGAGTTCATTAACTTTTTTATAGCTTAGCCTCATTCTAGGGGAGTTTGGGGCTCATAGGAGAACATAAAGCATTTGAAGTGTTATGTCAATACTAAGTAATATAATTATTATGTTATATTATAAGCCCTTCCTATCAGAGTTTCCAGAACTGTTCTCTCTCTCTCTCTCTCTCTCTCTCTCTCTCAACTGGGTTCTCTTTTTACTTTGTACTGAGTAAAGTGATATATTTAATGGAGAAAGGCTGAATGACTATGAATGACTCGAGACTGGTATTGTCCTCCCTTCTCCACAGTCAGGAACCACTGGGATGGGGAGGTAAGGGATGTCCCTAGACAATGAAGCAAAAAGAGAAGCTAAGGGGCACCCCACACCTCACCTGTGCCTCCGTGTAAACACTGGGACCCTTTCCTTTACAGTGGTTTCTCTTTTTATCACTGGTGCCTGGGTAACCTAAGGGCCTCTAATTTTCTGCTCTCTGCTGTGTCTTGGAGCTATGTCTTCTGGGGCACTGATCACAGGGTTCACATGTGGCCAGGCAGAAGGTATTGGGGTTAGTACTTCTACTGCATGGTCAATCCTGCCAAGGAAAGTGGGAAGTGCCTTAAGGGGTGTTGCTCTTAGGACACTCCTACTGCCCTATCTTCTGCAGAAAACAGCCACAGGAGGTGAATTTCTCCAGCCACCTAGGCAAGGTAGGGCATGGGGATGTCTTTGGAATACCTGGGGCTCAGGCCTCCAGGTTTAAACAGCTTCCCAGTCATCTCGTAAACTCGGGTGCCCCCCTGTGGTTCCAAGTGGAAAGTGTCGGGTTTACCTTAGGGGGAAGGAGATCAGAGGGGTGAGGGGAACATTTATTGTCTTGATACTCAAATCGAGGTCTGGCCACTCATCAACAGCATCAGCATCTCAGGTCTCACTCCACACCTACTGTATCAGAATCTGCACTTTTAACAAGATCTGCACGTTTAAGTTTGAAAGGCACTGCTCTGTCAGCCCCCAGGATAGCCCTAAAAGCCCTTCTCTCTCTATAAGGAGATGTTGATGTTGGCCAAAGACCACACAGCTCCCAGGTAATGTCTTTCCTTAGGGACTGGAGAGATGGAATAGGCCGTATACCACTTCCATACTCCTAACCACGCCCCAAGGAGCTTTCCCCAAGCCAGCGTCCTTGGTTCTCCCATGGTCTCTTGATCAACCTGTTCAAGCCCAGGCAGCAGGGCTGATTGCCATGAGCATTACGTGACTTAACCCTCTCCTCCAAGAGCTCATAACAGTAATCTTTTACAGCTGTTTTGATAAAGCACATCGCATGTACAGCAGAAGGCCTGAGTTGTGCACTGCTCTTCTCAAGGCCATTGAACCCCAGGTGGTAGAGGAAATGGCCCAGTTACATAAGCCCCCATTATGGAGTCACCTCAAGAATGCTGGTCTAATTCTCCCATCCCCCCAACATTTCTGCACCAGGCCTCCTTCAGATTGCTTTTCGAAACCATCTGGCTCTAAGTTAAATATTCTCTGGGAAGTTTAGATTTCCCCAAACAATGTACCTTCTTGCATGGAGTCTGATGCCACTTAGGGGGGCAGCAGTAAAAGGAGTGTTGAATTAAAGACTGAAAGCCCCAAGCCCTTGCCAGTTTTGCTCAGTGGTTAGAGCATCGCCCTGTGGACTGAAGGGTCCTGGGTTTGATTCCAGCCAAGGTCACGTATTTTGGGTGCAGGCTCAATCCCTGGTCCCTGTTGGGGCACCTGTGGGAGGCAACCAATCGATGTGTCTCTTTCACATCAATGTTTCTCTCTCTCTTTCTCTCCCTTCCACTCTCTCTGAAAAGCAATGGAAAAGATATCCTCAGGTGAGGATTAAAAAAAGATCAGAAGCCCCAGAACTTCTTCCTCTGCCCCCGCAGCCCCGTGACCTCAGGAGGAGAGTTGCAAACAGGTGAGTTCAGACTTGCCCTTCTTCCGTGGCTAGGTAGTGGGACAGGTAACAGTGGGTGCCTGGGAGCTTTGGCAACTATGAAGCACTTTTCTTTTGGCAACTGTGAAGTAATTTTTTTAAATATAAGAGATTGCCCTTGTGATTTTGAAAGATAATCTCTAGATGAAACTCACAGGTCTTTATAATGCTCACAAAGTCTGGAAAGATGGTGAATTCTACCAGTTTAGATGTGTCTGGGAGGAGCATGTTTGGGGACGTTCATATGTCTGGAACCTCAAGGAGGCGGTGTATGTGTGTGCTGGCCTAGGGGCAGGCAGTGCTCGCCTGGAGAAAAATAGCCATGTGTGAAAGTGGTTAGCTCTCCTGTGTCCGGTGGGCTGGTGGTGCGCGTAGCTCGGCTCTTACTGACTTGAGAGGCTGGGTTCCTGTTTGGTGGCCTTGAACATGTTCCTCAGGCCTTCCTGAACCTGTCTCCTCATTTTTAAATTAGGGGTTGGGCTGGTTGATTTCTAAGTTTTCTTCCAGCCTGTCACGCTGAGCACCCAGCTTGAGTGTGGGGCCTTTTGCTGTTGGCTTTACTGTCAGAGTTGGTTTCTGGGTCTCTTTGTTCCCATGGGTCAGCCACTCTCCGTTGGTGACTCCCCACACCAGCTTTTGGACCGGAGTTGTTGCTCATGAAAGAGCTGGAAGTGGGCTGTTTGGAAATTATCTTTCACTGACTGAAAATGCAGGAAGCTTGAGCGTGAAACTCACTCATCAAGAAGAGAAAACACACACGCAGAGCAAGAAACCACAGGGCTTATCAGCCTTTCGTCATCAAGCAGACTAGAATAGTGCAGAAAACTCTGGGCAGAGAGGAAATGAACTTGAGAGAAGGGGGAGCACACACAGGGCAGAGAGGACAGAAGGAGGGCGGGAGTGGAAGGAGGGCTGCAGGGCAGGGCACCGCGATGGTGGCAGGATGGAAGACCTGGCGGTGAAGCAGGGCTTCCTGTACCTTCAGCAGCAGCAGACTTTTGGAAAGGTAGGAGGGGCGAGGCTGCTGGGGCTGGGCCGAGGGGCTAGGGGCTGCTAAAAATTCCTGGGGAGGAGAGGGGTGTGCCGAATGTCCCCAAACCCTTACGGGATGGTGGGGACTGTGCCATCCACCACGTTAGACCCAGAGTTTAACTTGGCAGGGCTCCTTCCTTAGCAGCTGCTTGCCTCCCCAAGCAGGCCCCAAACTGTGCTCTTTGCTGACGCTGCTCCCCCGGGGGAGGGGGTAAAGGAAGGCTCTAACTCCCTCCTTGCCTCTCTTGCTCTCTGGTGACTTCTTCTCATGGGGACACTTTGGAAGGGAATGGAAGGAACAGTGGAGAGGGTAATTCAGGATTGCAGTGGCGGTTCCTTCCTTTTCTCCTGCCGCACTGGGGTAGGTTTGGCTGGTGGTAAGCTTAAGCAGAACCCCAGTGTGTCCAACCTCCTTCTCTGTCTTGGCCTCCTTAAATGAGGAAGTCCTCCTTCCCTCGGATGAGCCACACCAGGACACCACTCTCTATCTCCCCTGCCCTTCCCTCCCCTGCCCTCCCCTCCCCTGTCCTCCTTTCCCCTCCTTTCTCCTCTCCTCTTCCTCCTCTCTCCCTCCCTCCCTCCCTTTCTGCCCACCCTGCCAAGAGATGAGGTGGGAAGATTCAGGAGGCCAGACTGAAGTTCCTGGAGATAAGGCCTTCTATGGAGTGAGATACTGGTCTGCGTCTGGGCCCTGGCCCTGCGCTCCTGACCCTGTGGGCTTCAGCAACTCAAAACTCTCTGCTTTTCCCTGTGGATCTCCTGGGTTGGGCTGCCTGGCCACCTCACACCTTCACTGTGCTTTTTCTGCCTTTGGCGTTCTCTCTGCTGTCACCTCAGGCCTCTTCGTGGTTGCTTGTGGTGGATCTCCAATTCCAATGCTTTCTAATTCCTTAGGCCCCGGCTTGCTTCCTTGGGTCTCCTGGGACCTTTACTGCTCTCCCCAAGTTGCTCACCCAGTCCCTTCCCATGGGGATCCTCCACTTCCCTTTGGTCACCACCTCTCCGTCTCTGGTTGACTCCCTCTTGGCACCTCCCCGCCGTGCATCTGGGTTCAGAAATGGCGCAGGTTTGGGGCTGTGCTGTATGGACAGTCGGGCTGTGCCTTGGCCCGGCTGGAGCTCCAGGAGGGCACGGAGAAGCCGCGCCGTGGAGAGGCTGCCCGGAGGGTGATCCGCCTCAGTGACTGTCTGCGGGTGACCGAGGCCAGTGGGGAGGCCAGCAGCCCCAAGGACACCAGCGCCTTCCTCTTGGAGACCAAGGAGCGCCTGTACCTGCTGGCGGCCCCCACTGCCGAGCGTAGCAACTGGATGCAGGCCATCTGCCTTCTAGCCTTCCCTGTGAGTTGTCCAGGGGTGCAGAAAGGGCAAGGGGCTATGCAGGAGGGGGAAGTCGATACTTCTATGCCCAGGTGTTATAAGAGCCAAGGCCAGGAGGTTGGGTTCAGTTCCTTGGTGGGGGTGACCCCGACCCAGAATGTAGACGGGGCAGCAGGCTGAGTGTGCCCTGAAGGAAAGCCGAGGCCGAAGGCGGGGCTTGGTGACAAGTGGTGAGACTCTGGCCTCTTCCCCAGGGCCAGAGGAAGGAGCCGGGACCCGAGGGGAAGGGCAGCAGGCCCTGCATGGAGGAGAATGAACTGTACAGCAGCACCATCACAGGTGAGGGGGCTCTGCTCTCCTCAGGGCGTGGTGGGGAGGAGGTGTGGGCCAGCCAACAGGCTGCGTCTTCCTGCCTTGTGGTTGTCCCCAGCCCCGGCCAGCCCCCTTATCAGCCTCTCTGCATCACTTCCGGGTGTGGCCCAAGGTGGAGGAGCCTGGCCTGCCCCGATTGTCAGCCCTTCAACCTGGGTTCGCTCCCTCTCGCCCAGGCCCTGCAGGTGGGAGAGGGCAGGGCTGAGGGTCCACTGAAGGTGCTGCTCTCGAACCCTCTGTAATTAGGACCTGAGCAACTTCTGAAAATAAAGGGCTTTCTTTCTGTGGATTGAAGGTGCCCTGCGGCAAGGCAGGTTTCTGCTGACAAGGCAGCCCCCCCCTTGCGATCTGTCTAGTCCTGTGGGTGGGTGGGTGTGGGGAGGAAGAGGAAGATACAGGGACATCCAGTCTCCACCCCGCAGAGGGCATGGCTGGCATCAGCGGTGGGTGAGGAGGTTGAGAGCTGGGAGGGAAGGATCAGGTGCACCTGCAGCTAAGACAGTAGGGGTTGGGGGCGGGGGGCAGCTGGGTTGGGGAGAGAGATGAGACGGAAAAGACAAGGCTGTGGCTCTGACAACAGGATAGGAAGGATGTGGGCACGAGGTTAGGGTGCATGTGGCTTAGGGCATGATGCCTGCTAGGGTCGGGAGGAGGTACCTGGCATTTGGAGGGGGTGTGACCTGGCACAGAGCAGGTCATGGGAACGCGAATGATGCTTTTTCTAGTGACCTCAGCTTGCTCATTGAGAGCAGGGCAGAGGCGAGGCAGGTCAGCTGTTTCTCTTTAGCTGCCTTCTCTCCTCTCTCCTCCCCAGCGGCCCCCTGCAAGGAGTTTGCTGTGACCATGAGACCCACGGAAGCCAGTGAGAGGTGCCGGCTCCGGGGGTCCTATACCCTCCGGACTGGAAAGAATGCTCTGGAGCTGTGGGGTGGCCCTGAGCTGCGATCCCCTTTGTACATCTGGCCCTATAGGTTCCTGCGGCGCTTTGGGCGAGACAAGGTGAGCAGGGGCTGCAGGGGGTGGGTGGAGAGAAAGGGTGAGCGGTGGGAGAAAAGAGAAAGATTACCAGGGAGGGCCCAAGGGCCCCGAGAGGAAGGGGGCACGCAGGGAGGGAGGAAAGGAGATAAAGGCCTGAAGGAGGAGATGGGAGGGGAACCAGAGGAGAGGGAGTGAAAGCAAAGAAGAGGCACGGACACGAGAAGGGGCGAGAGAGGAGGCAGCGGATGGGGAGACGGAAGGGAGGCGGAAAGGTGGAGAAGTCAGAGGGTCAGGAGTGGCCTGTGTCGCTGAGGATACAGCGTGTGCCCAGCTCCACAAGCGGGTAGACAGGAGGGAAGGTGAAGGGAGAGGAGAGGTGAGAGAGGGCGTTGCTTGTAAGGAAAGTGTGGAGGGAGGGAGGAGAAGCAGTTTGGGGAGCAGGCTCGCAGGTCCCGGTGGGGCCAAGCGTAGGGGTGATGGATCTGCGTTTCAGAATGTGGTTCAGGAGAAGCAGCCCTGCTCTGTGTCCTGGCCCTTAACCGCCTTTCCCCCTCGACCAGGTTACCTTTTCCTTTGAGGCAGGACGGCGGTGCGTCTCTGGAGAGGGAAACTTTGAGTTCGAAACCCGGCAAGGCAATGAGATCTTTTTGGCCCTGGAAGAGGCCATCTCTGCCCAGAAGAGTGTAGCCCCTCCTGGGCCACAAACCCAACCAGCCACAGTCCCAGCAGTGCTGCCCCGGCCGGAGAGCCCGTACTCCCGGCCGCACGACTCACTGCCACCACCTTCACCCAGTACCCCTGTGCCCACCTCCCGGCCACGGGGCCCGGAGGGGGAATATGCAGTGCCCTTTGATGCGGTGGCCCGTAACCTGGGGAAGAGCTTGAGGGGCATCCTGGTGGTCCCTCCCCAGCCCTCAGTTGACCCTCTGTATGACAGCATTGTGGAGCACCGGCCTTCAAGACCTGACCACATATACGATGAGCCCGAGGGTGTGGCAGTCCTGTCCCTGTATGACAGCCCACAGGAACCTCAGGGTGAGGCCTGGAGGAGGCAGGCCACAGCTGATGGAGACCCCAGTGACCTCCAGCACATCTACCCAGTGGGGAAGGACTTCTCTGCCTCTGGCTGGCCACAGGGAACTGAGTATGACAATGTCATACTTAAGAAAAGCCCAAAGTGATGGTGGGCAGAGAGTTGTGCGTCCTATTGAATGCCAGCACCCAGGAGGGTCTGTGCACACCAGGAATGGCTTAGAGGCTGGAGAGAAGGAGCCAGAGGGGGAAGGTAGGCCTCCCCTTTAGCTTCTGCTGATGACTCCTCCTGCCCACTGCATCCCAGGAACCTCCCTCTGCTCCTTCTACAAACCCTAGGCTCGGCCCGCCCTAGTCTGGTCCAAGGAATTGTTCCTCCCTGTTTGCTGCGTGTCAGGATCCCAAAGCAGGAAGAGTGCCCTGAAGAGACCCGCCCTCCTCCTACTCCTTTCCCACTTCCTCTTGTTTCTTTCCCGGGTCTAACAGAACTTCAGGCATTTAGGGTAAAAGACAAAAGGATGTCAGCAAATCGCTTGCTCCCTGGGCTTGTGCAGGCCTCCTGCCTGCTCATGTCCCCTCTGGGGGACAGCCCTGGCTCCAGGCACTCAGGAGGGTGGCTTTCTGCAGGTTTGGGACTTCTCTGTGGCATTAAACATTTCTAGAATGTTTTTGTGTGGCATGAGTGCTGTGGGGTGGGGATGGGACAGCCACAGCCTCGTGGGGAATGAACACTTCAATTGGCGATGAGTACCCCCTCTCCCAGCAGCAGTGTGCTCTCTGGGCCTAGGCTGGGTCCCAAGCATCTCAGTCCAGGATCTGGAGAAGCCAGGGTACCCCAGGAAAGATGTTCAGGCATCTCTAACCCTTTGCTGGTGTAGAGTCAACATCAGAAAAAGTGGGGAAGTGGCGTGTGTGTGTGTGAAGAGCCAGACTGGAGGACAGGAAAGAGTTGGCAGTTTTGAGTCTCTCCTGCACTAGAAAGGGGATGGATCCCATTCAACTCCTTGCCCTCATTGAGACTTGCTGTTTGTAAAATGAGGGGGTTCTACCACATGGGCTCTGAGAACGCTTCCTGCCCTGTAATTCTCCACAGGCCCCATGTCCCATTTGCCCACAGGCCAGGGCCTGTGCACTCTCTTCATCAAAACCTGCTTTCCTGGAAAGGTAGGTCAGTACATTTCTGCTGCCAGCCTGTCAGCCAGTATTATGGAGCACCATTGTAGGCCCCAGACTGTCCTGGCCTTGATATGCTTACAGCCCAGAGGGGGCTCAGACAAGGGCACAGATGTCTATCATGAGAGGGGAACTTAAGTACTGTAGGGTGACTCAGGGCCTTGGGGTCAGAGAAGATACTTCTGGGTTCATTGGGGGACCAAGAAAGGCTTCATATGGAAGGTTGCATTTAAGGTCGACCCTCGGGGTGTGGGGGGGGTGTGGGATTTGATGAAGATTAAACGGATGTGAAGAGAGCATCCTGGGTAGAAACACCAGCTTGAGTAAGGTCAGGGAAGGTGCGGGTGTACTCAGGAAAGAGCTCTACATTCAGAATGGAGGGAACACACGGCAGACTCCAGCCATGTTGTGGAGGAATTTGCATGTAATTAGAGGGAAGGAATGACAAGGCTTCTGAGTGGATTTCCATAAGAGCTGCACTTTAGGGCAATAACCCCATGGAAATAGGGTAGGTGCAGGGTGGGCTAGGGCTGAAGTGTGAGGGAAATTCAGAAAAGACTGGATTCAAAAGATGCTGTAGAGACAGGGCCTACAGATCTTGGATGTTGAACACAGAGACATAGGGTTTCTAGAGAGATTCAGGTTTGGGGAAGGAGAGCTTAGTTTCTGATGGGTTCAGGTTAAGATGGCTTTACTCTCTTCAGCCAGAGGAGTGCTAAAAGCAGGTGGGAAGGGGCTCTCAGGCGGGAGGGAGACGAGATAGAGACCTAAGGAGTGCTCGCTGCCTCCCAGGTGTGCTGCATTAAAGCAGATTGGAGACAGGGAGAGGCCCTGGCTCTTTTGCCTGTGCCAAAGGGCTGTTCCTGCTGCCACCATCCAAGCCTAGCCCCAGAATACACTGTCCCTAAGGGTTTCAGCCGTTCCCCATGCCAGGCCAGGGGTGGGACTTGGCAGGGCTCTTAGGTAAGAGTGCCTGGATTCTTATTTCTGTTAGTAGTGCTTGAGGTGGATGTTCCAGCTGAATCCAGCAGGGGGCAGTGTTAGCCTGTGGAAAAGGCTGCGGG